TCAAATAAATCCCATTGGTTTGCTTGGTTTGAAACTGACTGGCTAATCGAAAAACTGTTCACCCACTAGGCAGCCAGCTATAATAGTCGGTGTTTTCTTCTCTGCATGTGTCATGTACGATTTTACACGGTCCACTACCAGGTAGTTGCTGTTTCTCTCGATCATCCCTTTGCTTTTTCATTCTGAGCTAACTCTGCGAGTGACATGTGCGTGTAGTACAAATGTGCTTCGAATCCAACGAATTTGTGTTTTTGGCTCTCGATCGTTCACGTAATCTTGACTGATTTCTCCTGTCATTTGGCCGTCATGTACTGTCAAAAAGGAATTGTATCGGTAGATCCATGCGAGCGTGTTGATGCCTGTTTTCTTTCCATTTTCAACTAGTGTCTGTCGTTTTCGTTCGACATCACATATCGTTTATCTGGATTTGAAAGGGAAAAGCATGTGCCCTAGGTGTAAGGGGTGATTCCCGACTTGTCAGGAACAGCTTTTGCGCATGAGAATCGTATTGATATGGTTTTGTCGGCATCTGTGGTTAAGTCAGTCATTATTGTTGTTGCTTGAACTTATTTTTTGTGGTGAATGTCGACAGTGAATGGTATTGCCCTGTAAATTGCCACAATGTTTCTTTGCACCAACCAGTTATTCAACTGCGTCAGGTCTCCTTCGCTGTTCCTCGTTTGAAAGCCTTCTGTATGTCGTTTCCATTGGACGTTCAACACTATTTTTCGTATCGATACATATTTGTGTTGCTTAGAAAAATGAATTTTTTTTAGCTCTATCCGAACGATCCTTTTAAAGAGGTTCTGCACTGTGTGGTAAAAATGAGACCGAATAGACGACCAGAGTCCCAGTTCCCGTAGGATCCTTCTGAAGATGTATGTATAATGTTTTCAATCGTACCAAAAAAGATTGTGAGCCCTAGTGATTTATTTTTCTCACCGTCTGTAAGTCACTAGCTTATTCATTTTGCGCTGGACAAAAGAAAGTATATACTGTTTTCATTAGAGTGCATTCAAACAACCCAGTTTCGCTTCAATGAAGCCTAAGTTTCAAATGATAATTTTCATTTTGCAATCGAGATAAATCCACAATTAATTTTAAATATCGACTCCATAGTTTATAAACGTTCTTACATATAAAAGTCGTTTTTGTTTGTTTATTTGCATGTGTACGTTGACTCATTACTTCAGTTTCGCGTCATGAATGCGTTTGTGAGCATTCGATTCGTGTCTGCGTTGGATTAAGAGCATCCATGTTTAGTTGCTACTTTGTTTTATCTAGAGGTATGCACCTTTTTAATCGCGGGTCATTTGATCCAAATGGTTCATTCCGATTTGTATCTTAGATCCCCTACCTCTTGATGGTCTATTCGATTTCATTTATGCCAAGTGTGTTATTTCAATCTGATGTTCCTCATTGTGTCCGTGTCTTTTCGTATCGTCATGGTCCCACGGCCCTTTCCATCGCGGATTGTGAAAAACAACAACAGCTAGATCGTGATTTATGGTTTCCTGGGTCAACTATCTTCATCTTCCTCATCCTACTTTCTGTTTTTACCTTTTTCGTATCAGTGACTTGGCCGCTCGTAATTGCCTAGTTGGTTCCCAGCACACGATCAAAGTCGCGGACTTCGGGTTGGCTCGATGCATGGAACGAGATTTGACCTATCGAGCGCACGAGGGTGCGAAATTTCCCATCAAATGGACCGCTCCCGAAGGTTTGGTTTACAATCTGTTCTCCACCAAATCAGATGTTTGGGCGTTCGGGGTACTATTATGGGAGATTGCAACATATGGGAAAACACCGTATCCCGGCATTGAGTTACAAGATGTTTATGTTTTTCTAGAACGAGGTAGTCGAATGGAACAACCCCAGGGCTGTCCGGAGCCGATATACAAAATTATGCTTCAATGTGAGTTAGTCGTGTTCAGTTGTTTGTTTTACTCTCTTGTTGCCTCATTAAAATGCAGTTTGCAGTGCAACTCATCTTTCCATCATTTATTCCTGTGGTTTTCTGATGACCTTATCTGACATGAGCCTGAAATAATATGTAGTCCAGATAAAATAGTTAAAAGAAGTAACTGTGTTTCGCTTCCTGAGCTTAATAATTGTTTACCTATCCGTTTCCGGTCCTCAAATATTCAGGGATACAATAAAACTTTGGAGTCCTGTGAATTAGATTTTTCATGATCCTCATCTCATCATCTAAACCGGAAACCACTCTCTTGCATCCTGATATTCAATTTCTTAAGATCAAAACACGTAGAAAACTCCCTCTTTATGACTTGCCGAACTTACCACGGAAGTTTTCCTCGTAAGTGACTCGTTTACAGGTGTTTCCGTTACTTATTGCACAAAGGATTCATACAGATGTATGATATATATATATATATATATATATATATATATATATAATTTCACACTTGTCTGAAGACAGACTGTGTCAGGCAAATCATGGTACAATAATCTTTATAAAAAAGAAAAGTGTTCCATGATTGGCTTGTGGGCTGAATACTGCCCAGGCCAAGGCAAGCGAATTTTCTTGAGGAATTCACAACCGGAGCCTTCGGCTAGCCAAAGCCTGATCCGCAAGGCAGCGGGGCGATGTGTGAAAACCGCAGTCTATTGGGAACCGGTTTCCAGTTCATCGGATGTATCATAACAGCGCGCTCACCCTCTAGATCTCCAATGGCTAACATCGAAACAGTAACCATAGGTTGGTCCAGATACTGCGTGTACCTTCGTGCTTGTTTGGTTCTTCCCAAACGGCTAGAAACGTTTCGTTCGATAAATCGGAATATCTCAATGCGGTAACGCTAAGCCAGTCATACTGCGATCATATCAAACCGCGTCAACTGCATGCTGAAGTTTTCTTCAAGTGAACAATAACTAGACAAAACTGGAAGAACATAGTCCATTTGTTCAATATTTCATGTCCTCGTTCAATTTTCTATGAGCATCATTTTCAGAATCTCTATTTCATGGCTGTGCGTGCAATCGATCTCTACTTTTAGGTTGGCAATGGCATCCAGAACAACGACCGACATTCAATCAAATCCGCACTCAGTTAGAAGCGATGCATACAAGTGCCAGCATTGAAGAACAAGTCGCTCAGGAATTGGCTCGGGCTCAAATGGAAGGCGGTCGCACGAGGCCATCTACGCAAACTGNNNCAAGTCAAATCATCCGTGTCCCATCCTCCTCTTCCGCCAAGACCTCCACCTCCCCGCAGAAGCACAAGCTGCGATCGATTTTTGAACGAAACTGATCCCAGAAGAAGTATGCTAATTTTATTCCAAACATCGTTGTCAATAATTAAATTAATCAAATAGAATATTGGCACCCTAATTTCGAAAGTGGACTGTGTTTCTCACGTACAATGTTGCTTTATAATCTAAATAGCAAACGCGTCCATCACTTCTACTTTTCTTTTTAGAGATTCACGTTATGAACTCTGTAAGAGGTGATCCAAAACCCAGAATATCGTTTTATTGGCGTCCTGAGGATGTATGAGTGATCTGATGATAATGAGAAATTTCGTTGAAATTTCTTTGTATGTAACTGACGCCTATTCAGTTCTAGATTGTTTAACCAATCTAACGAACCCATCGATAAGCTTNGATAAGCTTCTGTAGTGCTGAGTCGATCGGCTTCTTAGAGGTTTGGATTAAGGCATACCCAGTCAGCTTCATTGATTGGTTCAGAGTATTCTTCAGTCACACCTGCACTGCAAACATGTTGGGATGCAGTGTCTATACATGTCATCATTTTCTCGCAATGATACCACCTTTCAACTGCTATCTGTTTCCACTCAACCATTCCTTATTGAATTATCCGCCTGCCTACAGTTAGTCCCACATCTGACGAAGGCCAATTGGACTCGGGTGTAGGTGAAACAAGTTTCNCCGTTCGTCTGGTATGGCTACCGCACCTCGTCGTCCTCGTCCACCACAACAATACCGGAAAGTGGCTATTTCGGAAGAAAATGAAGAAGACGAGCGCTCAGGTATTACCAGTTATCCAGATGAGTCAGACCCTCACATGTCCATGGAAGATCCCTCTGGTTCGACTTCCCTTAGTGCTTCTAACTCCTTGGGTCGCAAACGAGCTGCTCCGTGTCCACCGCGACGCACTACACCGGTCAAGCCGTTCCCAAGCGAACTTACCCATCAATTATTCCCTTCAGCCCGACCTTCTGTCAGCACAACGTCCTCCGAACGAGATCTTCCCGGTGAAGATGACCTGTTTCCTCTGCCACCACCCACAGATGGTGAAGCATTCAACGGTTCTGTAACTGGTGTGCGTACACCTTCGTTCCAAACCGGCCATTTCGCAATATCTACACCACCCCCGCCCCAGTCTTCTATTCCACCACCTACACCGGGCGGATTTCAAATACCGTCGGTGATGAGCACTTCGGGTAAGGCTGTGATGCGATTTCGCTGGTTCCTCCTTTTCAATATGAGAGCCTTGGTTCGAAAGGCAGGTTAGTCAGCAAGCTCGGTTCGAATATCTAAGCATTTGAATAGCGAAAGCTCAACTAACTTTCGGCATTGGTGAAATCAGTGGTAGTGAATTGACCGCGAGGATTCAAATTCTCGTGCTCATCTTTCTTCTCTAACCTGGGCTACTTTTCCTCATTCATGTTTGCGTTTCTATTCATCTCATTTTCGAGGTGATGCCTATGATTAACTTAATGACTAACCAGTGTCTTCGTTTGACCCTGGTGTGTGTGTGCTCACCAATATATATGCTGCAGGCATGTGGTTCCGGTTGCGCCGTGTTGGCTGCCATCTTCAAAACGAATACCATTCTCCACTTGAACAAAAGCTTTTGTTGCTATAGGCTTTGACTATCATATTTAAGTGCGGTCATTGTTTTCTCCCGATCGAAAGTAGTTGTCCTATCTGGAGTTTGAAGCTAATGACAATGTCAACGGAACCATCCATCTCCTGATGGTTGTTCGGTGTCGCTGCACATGCTAGAGCTCTTCAGTTGACGCCAAAAAGACCAACATTTGAAGTTAGCAAATGGCCTTTTCTCTTTTGCCCAACGTCGACATGCAAGCTACAATGCTAAATGTCATATGGATGTGAATGCCAACCGTGTGGCGTTCAGTATTGTCGTACGAAGGCTTTTTTATCCACCATGGAGGTATGTTGTAGACTAAAGTTGCTTAGGTAAATTTTGAGAGCAACTGTAAGAATAACTCAGCTGTCCATTTTCCTTACGCGCTTGACCAAATCCCCTCTTTTCGTTCCTCTTCTCTCACGCAGCCATATTTCCATCCTCCAGTTCAATGGAACCGAATTGCGGCATGCTCAAACCAGCCAGACCTGCATTTCTTCCACATACCAATCCATCACAGACGAAGCCAGATGGTGTCGGGTTGAGGCCAGTCAAATCACCGAGCCACACTAAACCCTCGAGCTGTGATAAAGCATCCCCCGCGGATGAATCTTCATTTGCTGGCGAGACAGGCCAACCGTTTGGGAGATCCGAAGGAAAAATGCCCGGATCTAAAGTTGAGACATCTACGCGTTTATGCGCTTCAGGTCAATCGGAAACTCGGATTCCCGTCTCCAAGCTGTCCTCCTCATCCTCTGCTGCAAACGCCGAGTTTCGTCACGAATTGGAGCGACGATTGCAACAGCAACACCAGACACAGGGTCATCCGTATGATCGACCATCTACATCCTTCAAACTAACCCGATCATCTAAGCAGTCCGCTGCGGAACAAAAGCAGTCCCAACCGGCCTCACCAACAACGACTATAACCTGCGGTTTTTTGACAGTTCCTCGGAAGAAATCTGTACAGTCTACTTCTGTCACTCCCATTGCTGTCACTGTTGATCGACCGATTGTGCGCGCAAATCCCCCCAGTCCTTCTCCTTCTCCAAACGGTTCACAGGCTTCCCCTAATGCATTTTATCCCACATCAGTTACCCAACCTCACTCACGTTCCCTGAAGACAGCTACAGAGCCACAGCAACAGCAACCCACGGGTTTACCGAAGCCGATGCTTCGCAGTCCTAAACGGTCCGCTCCTCCGTGGGTCAACCCACAGACTGTCATGAACCCCGCACCAAGCGCATCTAATCCTGCTGCAAGTAAATCAAACGAACAGTCCACAAAGCGCTTAAGCTGGACCGGTCCTGACAGACTCCATCGACCCTCAGATGCAGGTGGAATACGTTCTCAGCGATTTTGTTTACCCACAATTCTCTCCAACTCATCAACGGGGCTAGATTCGGTGGAGTTAGCTGACCAGAACCAAGCGCCGTCTCGTCAGCATCTTACCAATCGACTAACGGAGCTTGTCCAACGACTTGAGGCTCTTCGCACAGATGATTCTGAACCAGAACAGGTAATTGCTTGTGCTGAGCAACTGGAGGCCTGTCGTCTCGACTGCTCTGCGTTCATTGATCAAGCCACATGTTCTGCTAGAGCTAAGTTCGCCTTTCGTGATCGGTACGCTCCATTGCAACAATTGAGCACAAACTTACGGCTTAATCGGTCAAAACAATCACCCGATCCTGTCAGACTGGTATCCACCGCGGTGACTGCTTTGCAGAACATTCTTACCGAACTATCCAAACTAAATGAAGGGGAATCAAGTGCCACCAGTGGGTTAGACGGTCAGGAAGAGGAGGATGAGGAAGAGGTACGATCGTCAATAGATAATCTGCGCGATACGGTTCCTCGTCCATTGCGTTTTGCACCGGTACCAACTAAGTTGCCTCAGTTTGTGTCGGAGTGATTCAGCTTTTCCTTACCGATTATTCTTATGTTGGTGGTGTTTCGAGCTTTGCGATCCAGCTGAACGGATCCCATTGGATTCTGTGCAATCTACTGATTTCGGCACAGATTGTTTACGCCCATGTACAGCCTAGATCTTCCCGCCCTTATCTTGTTTTTGCGTTTGTCTGTCTGTTAGTATTTTTTCTTCAACTTAAGGTGGCCATGTTATCCATATGTAAATATCTCATTCGGATTGTGAAGTCACGGGGTGGCCCATC